TTGTTTCTTGTTTTCTTTTTATTCAATTTCAAATTTTTATCATTTTTTCCATACTATCTGAATAACAAGCGATGTAATGATATTTTATAGGAAATGATAGAAATTTACATAATTAAACTTTAATTATGCAATTGAAAAAATGGTAATAAAAATGACAGTTAAATAATTAATATTTCGTTTTGTATAAATAAGTAAAATCAATAAATTAATATTAGAAATTAAACATTTTAAATTTTACGATTAAATATAATAAAAAAGAAATGAAACAAACGAGCAATTTTCCCTCTAAAATTGTCGAAATAATATTTTAACGAACAACGAGATCTTTTCATCTTATTATAAAGCCATATTATACATTCCGATAAAAATTTGCCAACATCACCAATTGTTATAATAGCCAATGGTACACCAAATAATGCAAATATAACGCAAGCAATTCGTCCATATGATGTTACCGGTACAATATTACCGTAGCCTGAAATACATTTATCAGTTAAACTGATTGTCGTTTATAAGAAAAAGAAATGATATTAGTTAAGACAAGAAAAAGATATGATATCAGTTAAGAGGATTATTGCTTATTATTGCTTACAAGAGAGAGATATGATATCAATTAAAATAATTGCTGATTACTGGAAAAAGATATGATATCAGTTAAGACAATTGTTGTTTATTGATTATAAGTAAGGGGTATAATATCAATTACAAAGATTGTTAATTACAAATAGGAGGTATGGTATTAGTTGTTGTTAAATGTGTATCAAGCATTAAATCATTATAATGACGATACGGTATTCTAGTATCAAAAACAGATCAATGATAAAAGATGACAGATGACTATGAGCAAAAGAGATCAATGATAAAAGATGACAGGCTGTTAACAAACACTCATTTATTTTCATTTCAATAAACAAGTTCAGAGATATGAAAAGATAATCAATTTATTAATTTCATAATCAACAAGTAATCAATAATTATTAAATTATTGTACAATTTCATTATTTATTATTGCATCAATTATTACATTATTCCTTTTTTTTTCTTTTCAAAATAGTGCATAAAAAAATTATGAAAATTTAAAAATTAAAAAGTTGAAAGATAAATGCCTGCTTGAAGGATATTTTATATGATAAGATTCTATTTACCTGTTATTTTTACCTTTATATCACTTTTACTTACCTATAGTAGCCATTGTAGTTGCTGCAAAAAATATAGCACTACTTGCTGTCCATAATTTTTTGCTTTTCATCAATTTTGGTCGATATTTTGCTTTTCTTCTAAAAATAAAAAAAAAAGAGAATTTAACTTTGTGGATAACAACAAATACTTTACGATGATAAGTTTGAAGTAATTTGCTTAGAAATTCAATTTCTTAATTTTTATTTTTAATAATATTCACATGAGACAATATGCCTTATAAAATTAACAAATAAATTCAATCAATATTGCTATTTCTTAATATTACAATTGGATATTTTTATTTTCCATACATGTATGCATTCAAAAGTAATTCTATTAATATCATGATTTTTTTTTTTTTTACCTAGAAAGCTTGTTTACCTAGATAATTTTCATGGTTTCTAAATTTTTAGCAATTTGCTAATCCGTAACATCCAGTGAACCAAAATATACCTATACTTTCTTTCTTTCGTATTAACACTCCGTTTATCGATATTTGTTTTGAAAATGCGAATATCTGCATATCTACAATGATTTTTTTTTTGAAAATCATTTTATGATATTTTAATTTTATTTTGAATTATTTTTGAAAATTAAATATTTAAATTTTCAGAATTGTCAAAATTTATGAGTAGCAAAAAAAAAATGTTTAAGTGATAATAATCTTGCCTAACATAATGTTCCGTAAATGCCCTATATAAATATTTATTGAAAACTTGAAGTTTCACGTCCGTTACGTGAATCCAATTATCCATTTTGCCATTTCGTTTCAACTCTTTACGTTCCATCCATAATGCTTGAATTAGCTCGTTGCGTAATTCACCAATCTTTTGTATACCAATTTTCTTTAACTATAATTTAAAGGAAAAAACAAATTCTTTTTTTTTTTCTAAATTATTCAAATTGCAAATGTTGAAAGTAATTTGAAGATAAATAAAAGATCTTTGCTTAAAATTTTATAAAAGTTACAAATTTTATTTGTTAATTTTTTTTTTTTTTGTCAATCATTCTTGTAAATTACAAGCTTAAAATTAAACCTTATCTTCATGAGGTGATTCGAGACTATAAAAAATCCATGCACCAGCTATCGCATACAAACATACGACAGCAACCAGAAGAACATGTGGTAAAACAAGTTTGATATACTTGAAAATTACCTGAATGTTAATCAAAACTTTTTTTTCTTGAAAGGTATGCTACATATATTTTATGAATAAGTTATTGATTAACCAATCAATTTCTAAGTAATAAATACCTTACAAATTCTTTCATCAAGAAAAGTAAATCAAACAATATGCTATTTTAATTCCATCATATACTTTATTTTTTAAATTGACAAATTATCGTACAGTTATCATTTTATTTTTCTATAAAAAATTGTAGTTTTAATTTAGTCCATAAATCAACCCATTATTTGCTTAAAATATTTTAAATTAATTCATTAATCAACTTTTACTTTAATTTGTGAAAGTATTTTAATTGTCAGAAAGCAAAAAAGAAAACAAAATTGGATTAGTCATCATTAATCTTCCCAACGAATTTATGAAATCCTAGATTTTCTGGAGGGAAGTCGAGTTATTGATGAAAAAGCCAAAAAAGCCAAAAAGCAGAAGAATTTGATTATGGCTTTTATCTAAGCTAAAATAGATAAACAAATTAAATCATATAGTTTGTCCCTATTGTATCAGAAATTTTTGATCAATTTACTGATATACGAATCTGCCCGATAAGTAAATAGAAGTAAAAAGAATAAAAATAATAATAAGAATTTCTAACAACAACGTTTAGCAATAATCAAATACATATACATACTTAAATTTCATTGTTTACTTCAATTTTTGTGTTTATTGATATTTCAAATTTGCAAACGCAATAATAATAATAATAATAATAATAATAATAATGATAATAATAAT